GTGCAAACATTGAATCACAAGTTGTGCCTCCGCGATTGCGTTGTTACGGCCGTGCGCGCACGCGGCGTGTTGTTGCGTTTGTCCATGATTTGAAAGTAACGCGGCGAAAGTGATTTTAAAAGATCGGGTCTATTTATAGATCGCGCTCGCAATGCAAAGTCCAGTCTCTACGGTCTTTTGACGATTTACTGAGATTTTTTATTTCATTATATAACTCTCTGTCTTTCTCTCGCGCGCGCGCTCTTTATTCATTATAATTAGATGTAGATAAGTAGCGTATGATCGATCGCAAGCGCAATTTCTCACCGTTTGACGCGGCTCGCTCTCTGGAACTGTCGCTCCCCTGATCACGCAACAGTAGCGAGCGGGATTTTCTCTTTTCCAGGGAATATCGCGATCGGCGGCCGTGCACGCGAGGTGTTCGCGATGTCCATGCGAATCGAGTGCGCGCGCGAGTCCCCCCGTGTTGTTAACTTGGGAACGCCTCGGGGCCAGGACGCGCGAGAGGTTCCTTCACGTGGGCCCCTTGACTTGTCGGAAGGGGCCCGTATGCTCGCGTTATTTTCTCGTGGTGAGATAAGATCGGCGCCGCTAAAAATAGCGTGTACGCGCCGCACCGAGGACGCCGTCGCGCCGAGCGTCCGCTCTGGGGTGCGAAGGTACCAAAAATTCACGAGGAGCGAGCCGGTGATCCCTGAACGCCGATCATGTGTCTCTTCCTCTAACGCCAACTTGTGAAAAGCGACAAGTTTCACGTGAAAATTTTCACATTTCCAACGTTGGAAAAGTTATATGATCGCTAAAGTTATCGAGCTCACGTGAAATTGTTCATATTTTCGCTCTTATAATAGAGTCACATGATCTCTACCCTGTTCTGGACGCACAGCGAACGTTATTAAGAATTCCTCTTTCAATTCCACGTTCTGTTTCTCTTATACAAGTCTCATGTATCACGTTGTTTCAGCACGAGAATCGGAAAGACATACTTTGACGGCGTCGTTAGGACGAACGTGGCCTGAAGAATGCGAAGCTTACGGTGTTGGCCCTACAAGCACCTTCTCCTCGTTCCTCTGCGTCTTCTTCGCGACAAGTTTCGTTCGCGCGCACGTGTACACACACATACGCGTATAAGCGGGCTGTTGACCGCTTTACATAACGAGAAAAGATACCGCAATCTTTCACGAACGCTATCGCGCCATCATCGCCGCGCGGAAGGAACGCTCGCGACGCAACGAAGAAACGGGAAACTGGAGGATATCGTTTTTATGAACAGAAACGCGACCACAAAGCGCGCGCGCGCTCGCAAGCGACGCTAAAGTTATCGAAAATGAAGTATAGTGCGAAGGGAGGAGGTCCGCACTTGCGACGAAGGCCGCGGCAAGGCCGCGTGCTTCTTCGTCTCCTCCTTCAATGATCCACCGAGCGAGACTCAGGTACGCGAGTCGGGTACGTTGCGCGCGCGATAATTCAACAAAAATTTGCGAATAATGATCTCCGCGAGAAGGTTGCAAGGAGTAATAATCGTGGTCCACGTTCGCAGGCGAAAGCTGAAAACCACAGCGGCCACATCGAGCACAATTCGTCGATGTACCTGATGCACGCGAGAGAGGAACTTCACGCCGACTTGGCCGCAAGAAACTATTTTCGCGTCGAAGTCGCGAATCGATACCGGTTTCCCGAGACCGGCGAAGAAGTCGGCCGTCTCTGGGTTTCATGGAGACTCCGTTTCTGACACTTCCGACTGTCGGTACCGGCGGTGACAATCACGGCGGACAATTTTTCGATTTGCGTCACGCTAACTCGAACATGACCGAGCGAGCTCTCGAGCTCTCGCACCCATGAACGTGGGCGCGGATTTTTCCATAAAACGAGTCCCTCGACGCGGATGCTCAACCGCGTATCGGGATCAATGACACGCCTGCAGATTCCCGCAGGGGTGTGTATACTCCGCGACCTGCGTGCGGCGGCGGCAACGGCGGCGGTGGTAGTGCGCGGCATGTAGAATTCCAAGCCGGCCGCCTTCCTCGACTTCGCGCGCAGCAGGACCTACTGGTTTCTATTTATACACCGCCGGAGACCTTGCGAACGCGGACGCTCGCTCGCTCGCGCTTATGAACGCCGCCGCTCGCGCTACTCGAACGTCTCGCTCGCGACGCGAACTCAAATTTGCCACATTGTATCGCGCTCTCCACGTAAATGTGAGGCTCAACCTCGGCCTGAGTCCGCCGAGATGTCACGATCAATCGAGTAGTGTGGTACGGTATGGTTTAAGAGAAACATATTTTCGTTAAAGGTTTCTTTATGTTTGTGTTTTTTTTTCGTAACTTTTGGCGGGCTTATGAGAACAAGTATTCTTCCTCTTCTCTCTTTCGACCGTTGACAGTTTTATAAATTATTGTTTATTCTATATTGAGACTTTCGTTTGTATCTCTCTTTATCCAAAGCTGTCAGATGCCTGCCTAAGTTTAAATACTAAATTACGCAAATATAAATCGTCATCTGTCAACTGCAAATATTATTATAAAGTTCATCGAGTTGCACTGCGTAAACGAAAAGTCGTACGCAGGTGACAACAACATCGTTTGAAAGTGTGGATTTTCCTGTCTAATTTGCATACTCGTAGATCACGGTGTGAATATTTTATAACTAGTTATTCAGTATTCTGAAGCGAAAAAACATTCTACAAACTTTGATCGCTCATTGAGAGTGAACGAAACGACGCGCGATGTGATCGCTAATAATATATATAATAAAGTTATTTATGCGTTTTTTACACAAAAATGCTTCGTCCGATATGTCTTAATATATAAAACGAGTAAATAAATATATTTACGCAAATTAAAAAGTTCTTCCGAACACAACAAATAGACAAATTTTAACGGATTATAATTTTGAAAATAAATAACAATATAAGTAATAGAAGCATCTTTTATTAGATTAGTTTTTCTAGTTTTCATATATATTATTAAATCAAGATTTATTTAATATTTAATCATGTTACAAATGTAAATCGAATTTCGTAAAATATTAACCTATGCAAAAGATCTCCTCGGGACGTTCCCAGGACGTTGTCAGGACGTACTCTGGACGTCTTTTGGACATTTGTACTGTTAGGGAAAATATTTAATAGACTTCGTCGAGTTGCACTATATAAACAAAATATAGACAAATATAGTTTACATTATTCAAAAGCACGAATCTTTAAGTTGCTTATTCGCAAAAATAGCAGTTTGATTTTGGTCGCTTCCTGTAGGTAAATAAATGAGTACGCGATGTTCACTAAACAATGAATAAAAAACTTAAAATTTCCTCTTCAAAATACATTTATCGTATTTTTGGTAAATATTAATTTTCAATATGGAAATTCAATTGAAAGATGTGAGGTTGAAAATTGAATAGTAACTTGTGGCTCATTGATGAGGTTTGAATCTCAGCTAAAAATGTAAAGCCATTTCTTATTTAACTCGATATGTCTAAGTAATAAACAACAGTAGCGTTATGTACTTAATATTCTTGAAAACTAGATATTTCAAGCTTTAAAATCCTCTTTGAACCGTTTCACTATCGTCATTTTCGTCGGAGTTACAGCCTGTTGAATTATGTCTACCATAAAAGAAAAGTGCGGCTGACTATCTTTTGAGTAATACTACTTCAGAACAGAGGAAACGGCTGATCATTCGTTAAGTCGTACCACGACCCCATTCTTTTTTTTTTTTATTGAAATAAAGGGTATACAATAGAAATGTACAGGTCTAGGAGCTAGCCTATCCGACTACCACGACCCCGAATATAAAGTATGTACGGTGGCGTCTCGTAGCGGAAACTTTGGAACTAAAATTTTTAGTTCTAAAGTCTCCGCTACAGGCGCGACCGTCACTTCGAATTAAAGTGTGTACGGTGGCGTCTTACAGCGGAGATTTCGGAACTAAAATATTTTAGTTCCAAAGTCTTCGCTACGAGACGCCACCGTACATACTTTACATTCAGGGTCGTGGTGAGGTGGTATTGAGGTCGGATAGGTTAGCTCCTAGACCTGTACATTTCTATTGTATACCCTTTATTTCAATAAAAAAAAAAAAAAACGAGGTCGTGGTACGACTCAACAAATGATCAGCCGTTTCCTGTGTTCTGAAGTAGTATTACTCAAAGGATAGTCAGCCGCACTTTTCTTTTATAGTAGACATAATTCAACAGGCTATAACTCCGGCTAAAATGACGATAGCGAAACGGTTCGAAAAGGATTTTAAAGTTTGAAATATCTAGTTTTCAGGAATATTAAGTAAATAACGTTACTATTGTTTATTGTTTAGACATATCGCGTTAAATAAGAAATGGCACCTTTACATTTTTTGTCCTCATTTTTTAATTAAGCTTTTACATTAAAAATTTATTTAAAAATAATTGCATCTTAAAGAGAAAATGTTTAACTTTTTATTCATCGCTTTGTGAGTATCGTACTTCAACTTGTTAGTTTACTGTAAGCGATCAAAGTCAGAGTGCCATTTTTGCTTCAACATTAAATACCTCTGCGAAAAGTAATCACATTGTAATTTACAGATAAACAAATTAAAGAGAAAGATATGCACTTTCGAATGGTATAAATCATACTTGTCTGTAGTACTTTGTTTATTAGGTACAACTGGACGAAATTTATAAAACATTTTTGCATCTGACGGATCGCGATCTATTATTCATGTTAACATTATAAATATTAACTAGTTCTTATATTTAACAATATATATCAAACTAGAAACTTCAGTATCTATAAAATGCTTCGTGACTCATCTCATTATTTAAATTTCGAAATAATAGTACGTTAACGTCTGCTTATTTATGTCGAAAGAAGTGATCTATTAATTGTTGCAAATAACGTATCTATTTATTGGTATATATATTTTCACATTTATTCGCTGTGGTATTCTGAATTTCCTGAATTAGGAATAAACAGCAACGTAACGTTATTTCTGCCTAAAAAAAACGTTTTTATGCACCCGTGTAGAAAGTTCAGCTAAGGAGAACAAATCTATCGATCAGTGTAAGATTTACGTTTTGAGCTGATTTGAAGCTGATTCAACGTAGAAGATATCGTATTGTATCTATTTCAATAAAGGACAACAGAGAGAGAAAGCATCATGTCTGAAGGAATAACACAGATTTTTAACGCATTCCAAGACCATCTAAACAACGAGCAGGGCACACGTGAGGTACGTATTAATGTTCCTCGAACCAGTCATGCTTTTTAGGTTGTGCCAAATGCTAGATTGTCGGTATCGCGTCGAATAAAATATTAAGCGTCCTGTCGTTTTAAACCAAAACTATCGTACAATTCGCGAGTGAAATCGTGAATTCGCGTGATAGCACATTTTACATAAAGCCTTTCATTCGGCGCTCTTCGCAGGTTAGTTGTGTTTACATACGTAGGATATCGTTGACCTATTAGGGTCGCATTCCAACAAAAACCTATTAGGGTCGCATTCCAATAAAAACCTATTAAGGTCGCATTCCAGCAAAACGTCCTTTTTGAGGAAATTTTACTCCATATTCTATAGTATATGCAACGTGAACTATAGCTATTGAGTAAAATTTTCCTCAAAAAGAATATTTTGGAATGTAACCTAGGGTTACATTCCAAAGCATTCTTTTTGAGGAAAATTTTGCTGAAAATTTATAATTATAGACTTGCTAGTAACATTTTCCTCAAAAAAGATACTGTGGAATGCAACCTAAAATTTGCATAATCAAACTTGTCCTCTTCCTTTCTTCAATTCTTCTATTTTCTTCTTCTGTTTCCTTCCTTTTAGAACAAACAGATTTTCTCATTAAAAGAAATATAAGTATTCTTATAGCGAAAGAGGCTACATATTTATTTAAAAAACCAAACTGAATTATACAAAGTATACAAGCAAAAACTTACATGAATTTTCTGGTTGCAGGAGATTCGTGTTATCGTCAAAGAGATTGAGAAAAATGCTAGAGATATTTTAATAATATTGCAAAATATTCACAATGTAGTAATTTCTAAGGATCAGGAGGAAGTTGGTATGATCCTAATGATATATTCCTTAGTGTGTACCTTGTCTATGTTAAGTTTATATTATGTAACTATTATTAGATAGTTGGATAAAATAGTCTAGTAAACTTATGCTTTATTATTGGCAATTTATAGTCATAATAAAATATTGCGCACATGCAAGAGAACTGTTCGAAGAAATAAGGAAGCAATATGCAAGTTTGACTGCATTGGTACCAAATGATCAGTATTATCGTTTCCATGACCAATGGCGTTTTGTCACACAGAGACTGTGCTTCTTAGTTTCTCTAGTAATATACCTGGAAACCAAAATTTTGGTTACTAAAGAGACTGTTGCTGAGATATTAGGAGGTAAACAAGTAAAATAAAAATTACATTCACATAAATATTATATATTCTAGTCTGATTACATTAATTCAGTAATTGTATTTAAGTCATTAATTGTATTTTAGTCTACATTAATCCAATAATTGTATTCTGCTTGCAGTGAAAAATAACAGAGAGGAAGGTTTTCACTTGGACCTGGAGGATTATCTGTTGGGTTTATTGCAGTTATCTGCAGAACTGGTACGTATACTTTTCATTTCCCTGCATGATAATTTTTTGTTAATAGTTCGTAATAATATTTTCATTTCAGAGTCGTTTTGCTGTAAATTCCGTCACAGGCGGCGATTACAATCGGCCGATAGAAATCGCGCAATTCCTTAACGAACTAAACGCCGGATTTCGACTATTGAACTTAAAGAACGACATGTTGAGGAAACGTTTCGACTGTCTCAAGTATGATGTGAAAAGGACTGAAGAAGTGGTGTATGATTTGACTATCCGTGGTTTAAAACCCACCACTGAGCCCGCTTCTGTCAACCAGACAGAAACGTTGAAACCTACTGACGAAACCGTTTAGATTCTTTGTACTTTAAACCAATGTGTATTTCTATAACTACTATGAATTTTACATGGCCAACGATAATATAAGATTTTCATACGTAATATATAATATATTTAAGTATATTCGCGCGCGCGCATATATAATAAATGTTCCATATTGTGTTCTATATATGCTTGTATTTTTTGTTATTGAGAATTGACTACATCGTCATATCGTTCGTAAAAGATTTTAATTTGTAGTGAGAATTTATTTTGTAATAGCTATTACATAATTAAACATTATGTACAGAAGAAACGTTCGATGAAATTAATAGCCTTTAAACTTGCGCATTTTCCACATGTTTTTCTTACACGTGGCTTGAGCAATTTATAGAGTAGCTTTCCCAAGGTCTTCTAGACGTACGTCGTGCGGTGAAAAACGTGTGTCCAAGTGCAGTACACGTTCATTCTGGTGTAGAGTCAGTGCAGCTAAAATGAACAAACCTCATATTCGTATTCGTTAATGCGCGGCAAGAATAGAGTGAGAAAGGATATCGTAATGGCAGTATAGAAATCGAGACACGTGGTCCTCGAGTGCTCGACGAACGTCGTGATTCCCAAGCGAGTAAATTCCGACAGAGTAGATCGAGAAATTCCATGCGACAAGCACGCTCATCGGAACATCAAGATCTGAATAAATTTTTATAAAATACAAGGACTGCGGCGTTCAACACTGCAATGGTAAACATATAATAAATATATTAATATTACTCGCGAAACATGGAAATGATTGTCCAAAGAGAATTCTGCGATACAAAAATTGAAGAATACGCTCGCGCAATTCCCAAAAACGTCTAAACAGGATGTCCAAACGGCCCTTTTGATTTTCTTACGAATTCTCAAGAACGTTCTAGAAGGCAGCAGTTTGAGGCAATTTTCAAGCGCGATCAGGCCGCACGATTGTATTTCTTCCAGTTGCGCCGTAGTCTTATGTGTAGTCGAATTCGAACAGGGAGAGGCTTAAGTCGAGTTCATAAAAGCGTGGCGTGACTGTGCCGACCAATCGGCGAGCCGATCTGGCCGGCGTGGCGGCGTCGTCGACAACGCGGCGATCTCCGCGCGGCGCGCGGCGCCCTGCGGAACTACACGGCGGCGGCCGAACGTATTAAATGGCTGTGCGTCGGCCATGATGGCTTTGAGCAGGGACCGTGTCACGCAAACATGTTTTCAAAGTGATATATCTCGTTTGGTGACTGAGTGACCGTGTTCCAGCGCGATGACCGAGGAACGATGAGGCGCTGAGCACTCTCTGTGCCGGGTAATTCGGCCCCAGGGCCCCGAGCCAGGCCTCCAAAGCAGGTCCACGGCATTCCACGAGCCCGAGGCCCCCCCAGCCCGACCCGACTGGCCTCACGGTGCGACCAGCCATCCTTGGTTGTCAACACGCGCGAGTCAGCCGCCCTCAGGATGAGCAAGCTGTCGTTCAGGGCGCGCGCCCTGGACGCATCCAAGCCCATGCCGATCTACATGGCCGAGGAGTTGCCGGATCTGCCAGATTATTCGGCCATTAACCGCGCGGTGCCCCAAATGCCCAGCGGCATGGAAAAGGAGGAGGAATGCGTAAGTTGGAACGTCCAGTCTCTCGTTCCAGCATGTTTTCCCCGTCCGCCATCTTACGCGCACAGCAGCCGATTTCGTAAACAACCGGCAGATGGCGGTTTCCACCGTCGTCGTGTACCTCGGAAAATTGCAAAATTCTTCGCTTCAACGTAATTGCCAATTCGATCGAGATTCCGTCCCGTTTTCCGTGCATCCTCCTGTTCCCCGCCCGAAACCCTGCGATAGCTGTCATTCCTTCGTTTATCAGTAATCGCAGCTTTTCTTTCTCTGTCATAGACTGGACTACATTGTTTCTGTCTTCTGCATCAAAATGTCAAGTGTTTTCTCACTTAATATCTCGATCATGTTTTTGCAATGCTTTCTAGGTGTAAGGATCTGAAACTCGGAGGCACTGACATGTTAGAACCTAATTTCATAGAGAAACTTTACATTTCAAAGAAATAGACTTATTATTGTTCTAATATCTGTTAACTCGAGTTGTCACATGCACTACGTTACATTCTTTGTGACAAATCATAGATACAATTGTAGCATTGACCCAATTCAAACATCTATAATGTTTGATTTTCTATATGATTATAGCAGTATTTTATTAGACTTTAGATTTTAATAGACTTTAATAGATATTTAATAGACTTTTGTGTAATTTTCATAATATGACTTATTGTTCAATATTGCTATTAGAAATACTACAAACTATTATTTTTGTAACTTTGTTTAAATACAATAATTAAGTGAAATATATAAAAGAAAAAGTTATCTAGAAGATAGATTTTTCAAAATTTAATTAGTTTATATAAGACAAATTCAAATCTATTATTAAATAATTACAGAAATGGTTTCATCATACAAGTTGCATATATATATATATATATGACAATAATGCTTGTAATTTATAAATGCAATAAATCTCAATTATTAGTTCTCAAATTCTAATTAATTCTGCAGGAACATCATCTTCAAAGAGCAATATGTACGGGTCTAATCATTCCTACTCCTGAAGTAACTGATCTGGCAGATGCGGAAGCTTATGATAAAATATATCCTGCTGATTATAAGTTGCCTCGCCAATTGATACACATGCAACGTAAGAGAACACGAAAAGATAGTTTTTATAACTTTTTCTCCTCTTATAATTCGTTGAAGCGAATAATTTATGGATGTACATTCAATTTCTAGCCTTTGCTATGGAACAAGATATACCTGACTATGATATGGACTCAGAGGATGAAAAATGGGTTGCATTGCAAAGCAACAAGATGGAGTTAACCCCGCTTCAATTTGAAGAGATGATGGATCGTCTGGAAAAGAGTTCTGGACAAACTGTAGTTACCCTCAATGAAGCCAAGGCACTTTTGAAAGAGGATGACGATTTAATAATCGCGGTTTTCGACTATTGGCTCAATAAGCGTCTCAAGACTGTAACTATCATTCCTGTCTTTAAGGTTATGTTACACTGTCCTGTATATTTGCTTAGATATCATCTGAATATGGAACATAGAGTTATTGTGCATACTTTATCAGTTGCTTTGTGCATATTTAATTGAATATCTAATATATTTAAGTTGATTTATATCGAATACATCATACATACATATGTGTATATATATATGTATATGTATCAATATTCTTACAAGAGTTATATACACTCTAGCAACATCCACTGCTTCTGACTGTTAAAACTGAGCATCGATTTGGTTCGGCCGTCAACAATCCATATCTCGCGTTTCGACGTCGAACAGAGAAGATGCAGACTCGCAAGAATCGTAAAAACGACGAAGCTAGTTATGAGAAAATGCTGAAGCTTCGTAGGGATCTTAGTAGGGCAGTCACTTTATTGGAAATGGTGAAACGCAGAGAGAAGACCAAGCGAGAGCACTTGCATCTCACAATTGAGATTTACGAAAAACGGTTAGTTTGAAATCTTGTCGACATCAATGACTCTATAATGTAGTCATGTTCGCTAAATGGTTACACTTAATTTTAAAGGTATCAAGCGCAAGACTTTAGTGGACAAATACTGGCAGAGGTGTCAGCGTTAAAAACACCGCGACCAGCGTTCGCTCCGCTTTTTACCAATCAGTTTGGTGTTCATCAGAATTGGTCAAACAAAGTCTGTAGTAAAGTATGTATCGATGCATGAATACTTGCGTAAGATTTCCAGATGGAAATGTAATAATTTCAGAAATTATTTAACATTACTTCATTTTTAATTCAGGACGAGGTAGTGCCCAGGAAAGAAAAGAGACAGTACAAGAAGCGGAAACATAAAACAGACAGTAGAGGTGGGAGTTTAGACGACACAGGTGTGCGTAGTGGAACGGGTAGTGGAGGTGGCCGGGGGAATCGTCCGAGTGTTCTCGGAAGCGGGCTGGACCCGCTCATCAGTTCGGATGAGGATAGCCCACTTCCATCTCATTCACACACTCAGCCATCGTTACTTTCCGACCGTGATGACGAAGACACGGCTGATGAGGGTCAATTCGCCTTTCGTCGAAATAGGAATAGCACTTATTTACCAGTAAGTCAATATATGTCACATCTTTGGTACTTTTGAAAATATTAATTTCAAGTCTTACCAAACTACACAGAAAAGTATTCTACTGCTGAGGGAAGCGATTGCTCAGTTTCCTTTTCTCATGTAATAGTTGTCTTCCACCCAGAATATTTTCTTGACAATAGTTTTAAAATATACTCATCACAAATTTTAGAAAAGCTCATTATCATGTATTGGAAAGAAGAATTGATTCTCTTTACAAAAACATTATAATACTTTCACATAATAAAAAAGTTGGTTCGACTTTGTATAGTAAGCAAAATTTTTGTTTCAATTTAATATTCTTGATTGAAATGTTAAACTTTCTACAACTCAGAATATATTTTAAGTAAATTTCATGCTTATGATGGATTCATGATAGATTTTCAAATATATAAATTTATATAATATTTAGAAAATATTTGAATATCCACTTGAACATAATATATATTTTTCTGTATATAATCTTAATGAAATGCAAACCTCGTAGTACACAGAAATGTACAAAGTGTTATGATGCACTGATTGTGCATTGTAACAGATCTCAGTTTGTAACAGATTTATCAGTATTTGTTTCAAATTCTTTGCACAAAATTTTCCTCTATAAGTGGCACTGCAAATGTGCAGGTTTTCGAAAAAAAAAATACAAAAATAATTCAAGTTTCCTCTTTCCATTGTGAAAGTTTTCCTTTTCAAAACTGCAGATACAGAACTTTTCTATTTGCAGCCTGTATCAGGTGGATTTGGAAATTGGCCTTGGTGTGATAAAAATGAGGGTGGTATAGCTGACAAGAAGTATAGGTTTGCATTGACCAGTATCAACAAACCAGTGCCAAGGTGTATTGGATTCGCGCGACGAAGACTTGGGCGCGGTGGGAGGTATGTGTGTTTTCTACCGACGTGTAGTAAATCTCGAAGAAAACGTTTGTTAAAAATACATTTGTTCATAAGTTGAATTAATTGAATTTTAAAATTATGCAGAGTGATACTGGACCGCTGCACGACCGATATGGACGAAATATGGTCTTCTTTAGACTTCACGATACATGAGTCCAGGTGTGGACCAGCGGATTCGAACGCTACTGCCACAGCAACGACTACTGTTAAAGAACGGTATGACTTTACATTATGTTGCATTTACATTATTCGTGTCTCATTGTTTACGCTTATAGAAATGACTCCAGGATATATGAAATTATGAATAAATTGAGTTTTAATTTTTAGGAATGCATCGGCAAATCGTTTTAATTTTTAGGGATTTTTAGGGAATACGCTAAATCTTTACATATTTTCGTTCCTCAGGTTACATTTTCGACCAAAGACTCCGCCTACGTCGGTGCTTAGCCCAAGCGAGGAAAGCAGCGATATGGACTCGGACGTAGAGCCAATAGTCTCTCGACCCAAGCTACTTCCATACCCGTTCCCGCTCGAGGCGACGTCCATATGCGTCGAGGTGGAGCCGGATCGTGCAGGAGACGAGTCGCCGTTTACATCGGAGTTCAATATCGCCGACTACTTCTCGACGGATGCCCTATCGTCAGACTTTGATCTCGCGGTGGCGAGCATCAGCGGTGGTAGTGCGTGCCTCAGTGGTTTATCGGACGGTAGCCTGAACGAGAGTTCGCGGACAGACGAGCTCGGTAGTTCACACTTTTTGGTGACGCCACTCGCGAGTAATCTGTTCGCGCCGCCCATCGCGACGGGGGCGCAGCAGGCCCGGCCTCAGTGCAGTGGTGTCAACACCGGTGGTTTTAACGTTGTACATATTCCCGCAAGTTCTTCGTCTTCGTCGATTTCGTCTTCGTCGTCCTTCTCCGTCGCGTGCACAACTAGCCAGCAAATTGCCACCACATCGAGCACAGTGTCCACGCAGTGCGCCGGTGCCGCCATCGACGCGCAGCCGAATCATCAGTCCAAGCAACACAGACAATTACCAAACAACAGCACCGCTGCCTCCATTCTCTCGAAATCCTTGACTAGTCCGACGAATAATAGAAATGGTAGCAGCTGTAGCGGCGGTAACAACAGTGGCGGCGGCGGCGGTGGTGGTAGTAGTGGTGGTAATGGTGGTAGCGCGAACGTTAGAGTGTTTAGTGCGAGCACCGTGACCAGTGGTGGTAGTGGTGTTGGTGGTAACAGTGGTAGCAGCGGCGGCAGCGGTAGCAGCAGCAGTGGCAGTGGCAATATCGGCATCGCAAACTTTGGCAACGGTCACCAGAACGGTCCGATGCCGCACATAAACAATTCGAACAACCTGACTAATAACACGCACGTGGTGAACAGTCAGTCCACGATTGTTCTGCCGCAGAAGCATCCACCGTCCAGTTTGCTACCAGGCCTGATCACGCAAAGTAAATTGGTGAGCCTCGCGAGGCAGCAGCAACAACAGACGCAGAATCAGGCGCAACCAATCCCAACGTCCGGGGAAATTACGCTTAATAGTAATAGGTAATTTGTCCTATTCATTTATCGACAAATCAATCAACGATATATTTCGGGTAATTGCAGTTATCCAAAATTCAGCTGCTTGGGAATTCAAAGATTGATCTTTCCTCTTAAACAATGTACAATATATAGACACATATACACTCTTGATAAATGTAACAATATACAATTAGTAAAAATGAAACATCTTGAAGCTTGATCTACAATATGTTCTTTGCTTTTGTTTCTTGTTCTCTATCTTCTTCTAGCTTAAGGTTTAAATCCTGATTGTATCAATCCAGTGATAAGCTAACAGACAGTTAAATCATGTCTTTGTTTTTCCCTCAAAACAAAAAAAGAAACAGATATATGATTTAATTGTTAGTTTGGTATTAACTATTAGGGAGAATTCATACTTTGGCAGAAAAACAGAAAAGCAGAAGCCAATCGGAACTCGCGCTAGTAGTCAAGAGTTTCTGCTTTCCTATCAGCGCGAGTTCTGATTGATTTTTGCCTTTCTGTTTTCCGTCTTTTTGTCAAGGTGTGAATTCTCCCTTAGGGAAGCTTCATACCTTGGCAGAAAAGCAGAAAACAGAAAGGCAGATGCCAATCAGAGCTCGCACTAGTAGAAAAACAGAAACTGTCGACTAACATGTGACAACCAACGTCAGCTCTGATTGGCATCTGCCTTTCTATTTTCTGCTTTTCTGCCAAAATGTGAAACCGATCTTAAAGTTGGTGCAACTTAAGTCAAAAAGAGATAAAGAAAAAAAACAGAAATCAGAGAGCACATTGTAGATTAAGCTTTACAAGGAACTCTTTATTGAACTAAAACACAATGGTATTACAAGCGAAGCTGACCTATGTTCGTTTGATTACAGTGAAAGTTTGGATATGGAGGTGGATGGAGTGGATAGTTCGCCGTGCGATAGCAAACCGCAGCAACAGCCGCAGCTTGTACGGGCGAACAAAGCAAATTCATTAGCGATGGAAGTGACATGATGCCTGCTATTGGCACCCCTGTTGCCGCCAATACGTCACTGGGGGCTTCGCTAACTTTTACCTTGCCTATGTCTCTGCCTCGGCTGGGAGATATCGGACATACTATGATATACTGCGCTACGTTGACTCGAAGAGCGATACGGCTAGGTACAATTGCAACTATACTACGATTCGATTTTTATATTGCGACGGCGCGATCAGGATCAAACGTGGATTCTAATGCACATACCGAAGGTTCATCCTTGTTCTGTCCATCGGGAGGTCGTGCTCCGTAGTTCCGAGATCCGTGCTCTTCAAATCTCGCGTTTTCCTTGCTCATTGAACGTTACGTACGATCGGCAATCGCATGGAGATATTTTCACTTGTAGACAAGCGACTTTAATCATTGAGAATTTGCCTGATCGCTCAAAATGAGATTTTATTTCTACTAGTCCACTATATCTAGAAATATATGTGGTCTGTTGCAATATATGATATAGACAAACTAAAATTATGTATTTTGAGTTATTTCGGCAAAGAGAGTGTATGCGATATGTGTTCGTTATTTCCGATAAAGACGATCTTATTCGTTCAATGCAAGGAAAATCGTAATCCAACGTAAATCTCAGAGATGCGAAGCGCTACATTCATCTTGACATTCTTTAAAGATCCTTATTTACAAATTCAGTACTGTCCAAGTATCACGTGGCACGATAATTGGACGTATAAAGCAAGCTTTCTCAGACACAGCATTGGTTATTAAACGGTCAAAATTCGGTAAAGAAGGGAAAAAAAGAAAAAAAAAAGACATTCTTTTAACTTTGTACTCTTATACAGCATCTGTCGCGTGAAGTGTACGCTTGAGAATCAATAGAGGCTTTATGTTTAATCGTGGACGATTATCGATAATATGATTTTTGGTTTCACATATAGTCACAGACATAACTTTGATTAATCATTTTGTAAATTATGCTTACGACGCGATGTATTCTTTCCTTCTTATTTGTTTTTCTCTCTTCAATATAACGTATGCAATGTGAATTCGAAGCGCTACATTAGCAACGGAGGGGATTGTATAATAATCTGTTTGTAAGTACAATAGTACGCTCGACTTACGTCTCATCGCTTTCGATATAAGTAGATCTACAGGAAATAGCAGGAAAAAAATAGATTGATTTCTTATTGAAATTGTATGATTATCTTAATATTGTATATAGAGATTCGGTTCGAGTATTATAGAACTTTATAGTAATGCTCTATTTCCCTTATATATATATATATATATGTGTGTGTAATTTACAATACATACATATATATATATATGTGTAAATACATACATATATATATATATATATATATATATATATATATATATATATATATTATATATGTATGTATGTAATACTACATTGTAATACTAAAGGCTTCCAGGCTGTGAAATATTGAAGCTATTGTTATCGATTAACCTTTGATAGCATTAATGTCATTATAATCGTAAAAGGATTTTCTTTCACTCTATCTTTTTCTCTCTCTCTCTATCTGTCTCTCTTTCTCTCTCTCTCTCTTTCTCTCTCTCTCTTTCTTTTTTCTCCAGTAATCAGCAAAAAGTGCGTTTTTATATTTGCATATCCGATACGGATTATGCGACTGATATGCAATTATAATGTAATTTTATAATGTTGCGTTTGGGAAGCTTGTATCACAGAATTTGCGAAGGTGTTACACACTACATATACTGTATTAGAATCTACGGAGAAGCTTATAAGAAGAAGCGATGCATAAGAAAACTTACGTCTTTCAGATTAGTGACTGCAATTACCGCTACTATTGGTGTAGAGATACCGAATACTTCAAACATGGTTTTGATGAAACGGTTATAAATTTTGCTTTTACGAGTTCGCGCATCTCTCTTCTTTTTTTATTTTATCTCATAATTCTCTATTCCCACGCGAACGAACTTGATCAAGTGAATCTGTGACGAGCTGTCTGCGACGATATTGCATCTCGTGTCACATTTTTATCTGTTCTCTCGCAGACTCGATAACATTTTTACCGTAGACGAGTGCAAATGTTGAAAGAGTCATTCGATATTTATTCTTATTTGTAGAGTAGCATGTTTATGACTCGGATGTGAACGTTCGGATCCTGCCACACGTTGCGCTCTGCACCGGCTTGAGGGATTCGAGCATGCAAAGCGAACGTCAGGCGTGCCATTACTTAGTGTTTGGACAGATACATGTCTTAGCGTCATTCCTTCAAGAATTTCATAACGCCGAGAGCCGCACACGAATGATATTTCGTTCTTTACACCGGTGTGCATGTTACAATTCGTTGCAAAATCCGCGCGGCGGGACCTGTTGACACAACTGAACAAATCATCATGGGTGTATCTGAGGCACATACGATTGATTCGAGTCAGAGCACCTTGTCGTATTTACATTTGATCGCTTCTCTATACGTGACAAACTGTGCACGCTTTCGCTGATGAAAGCTTGTTCGAAGAGAAAAGAAGTCCAATAATGTACGCGTGTTACTTTAGCTGTTCTGGATTCTCATGTTCCTCTCTTTTTTTCTTTCTATATCCATATAGTCTGCCACTTCATTGAGAAGCAAGAAAAGGATGTTACAAAGCATGTAGAGTCAAGAGAATACCTTTACGATCAACAAAACTGACAATGTGTCGTCTGTACATTTTACTTTTAAACACACACACACATACATACACACATATACATACGCAATATTCTAGACGAATCGCAAGTCTGGATTAACGATGTTTTTTCCAGATTGTCGATGTTGAGAAATCGTTAGTAACAGACCTCCCTTTGTAACTTCTCCGCAGTCGCAGTTTCCTTCGACATATTCGATAGTTGTATTTTTCTCGTTAATGTAGAGAAGAACAGCCGCATTACGAGGGTGAAATGCATACGCGAGATCCGAGATTACACAGATTTCGTTATTCATTACAATTGAGAAAACAAATTCGGAAACACTGATCATTGAAATCGATCAATATAATCCAGGATAGAGAGGAATATTTCGGATTTATCAGTGAAAAAAAGAAAAAGAGGAAGCCAAAAGGAACCTCTCGCAATAGTGAATTACGATGTAATACGATTTGTCGCCAGCCGTAACGCGGATAATACGGGAATAAAGATTATGGTGCGAGTGTTACAAATTGTAGGGAGACTTGAAGTCCGTAGTAAGAAACGAAAGGAAAAAAAAAGATATATTGTACATATAAAAATAATTACGCTTATTGTATCTCTTACTTTTAGGTAATTAACTGAATAATAATAATAATAACTGTAATTAATGTTGTTGTGGTAGGCGCACATACGATGTGTACGGAGATTTATGAATTCAAGACGATTTTAGGAGGAGTAATAAAGAAATTTTATCCTGGATAGGACTTATTATTTTGTTAAGATCTTCACACACTTCGCCTGTATATTATCTAACATTTTTGTGAGATCCGTTTTCTGACACGTATTTGTACATACTCTTTAGATACTCTTCATTATTTCTCTCGTTTTTCTCAGATTCACTGTTGCGCGCGAAGCAGTAGCCACCATTCTCTCCACTCTGTTCGCTCGTGTAATTCGTAGCGCATCTAGCTTTTATAAACGTTACTTATTCACCGTCAAACACGTACACGTATAATACACGACATACATACATACATTACATCTGGCTGACATACACATCGCTATGTGTATGTACTGCGTGTATATGCCGCGGTCGAGGTTTCTAACGCCGTCTTGAAAAGATAAAATGCAAAAAAAAAAGAAAAATAAAAAGCGACGACCCTTCCGCCAAATGATTTTGAGAAGAACGAGCGATTTTATGTGAATGGAAAAGCGATCCGAGAGCGTATTTGTAAAGAGGAGAACAAAAAAAAGGATTTGTTTATTTTAGTTGAGACGCTTTAAAACAAAATATAGTGTGGGGGGGTATATATGGATTTTTATATAAAATTTATTAATGTTAAAAAAGGTAACGACCCGATAGCCATTAAAGAACTAATAAAACGTCGAGAATCGTCAAGATATGATCGCTCCGACCAAAGACTGAGTTCGCTTTACATTTCTGGTTTGGCAAACACGAAATTCCACTGCAATGCGTAGACCGATTTGTCTTTGCGACGGAGAATCACGGCAGAAAAAACTCGGTTCGACCAGAGTCCCTTGCTGCGTACACAAATCGAAAAAAATGTATGTTATTACTATAAGAACACTCTCTCGTATCTCTCTCGCTTCCAGCGAAGAGACGAACGAGAGATGGAAGAGATCGGTCAGATTGTGAGACTTCGTGTTTACCTAATTCGTTGCATTCGCGAGAAACAAATAGTGTATCATGTAAGTAGAAGTAAGACAGATCAATGCAAATATTCAAAGTGATCAGAATGGCAGGATAAAAAAAAAGAAAGGACGAAAACTGTTAATCGCGTTTCACGTGCGGAGAAAGGGGACTTTCGGAGGGGAGGGGAATGAGCTTACCGGTTATTCGTAGGTAAACTAAGATCGAGAAAGCTCCTTAACATTTTTTGCGTGTTAAACAGATAATTACGATAATATCGACTGACGAGCGTTGAAGCACCGGTGTAATCTAACTATACGTGTATTTTATTCTGTGAATACAGTAGACACTTCTATGTCGCTGTGCGACAGGAAGACTTAACTGGGAAAAAGGAATAAGAGAGACAAAAGAAAGAAAAGAGTAAGAAGAGGAGAAGGAGGGGAGGGAAAGAAGAAGAGAAAGAAAGAGGAACGAGAAATGACGCTTCCACCAAAGCTCCGATTCGAACGAAAATTTTGGGCGCGAGTACAGTAGGAGAGAGAACTCTTCTCGAGTACCATATATATTGTACAGTCGGAGAAGCGCGCAGAAGGACAGAGAGAGAGAACGTAGGAGAGTTCTATATGACGTATATATAGAATATTTGCTCTCTAGAGACAACCCTACGACTTGTTCTTCGATACGATGCATCATTTAATCTCTTCTTTGTCACCTGATAACACCTTTTACTGGAGGAGGAAAAGAAATTAACGTACGTGTACGCGCGGCTGTCGCTGTCTGACTGTCAGAGACGATAAATTATCACATGTAATATGTCAAATACTGAAATACACGTCCTATTTATGAAACAAACCAGCACCCGACAAATGATTTATACATACCCGAATCAACTGTCACGACAAGATGTATGGCGAACACACTCCGCCGATGCTTCGCATCTGTGAATACAGCGGTGAAAAACTCTGGAATACGCGCGACGACGACTCTTCCGATTCTTTTCCGTTAAGGAACGTCTTTCGTGTCCGAATGAACGAGCATTCCTTCGCCTTTGTACTTTGTCAAGGTAGAACAGGTGTTACCAGGTAGATGAGTTAACATTTCCTACAAATGATGTGTAGAAACTTAAGTATTAATATTCGTAATTACTGCGACTAACATCACACACACACACACACACACGATACATACTACCCACACACAATGCGATAGGAGACAATGTGTATAACTAATTGAGTGTATATAAGTAAGTCAATTTACGGGTTGCATTTTGGCTATTAAATATATCCTAACTGTGTAACTTTTTTTCTCTCTCTCTCCGAGGAAAAGGCAGTATCGACTAATTATGAGAACGACTATTGTACATATTCGTATACATATGTATGTATACACGTATACAGCTCGTGAGTCTGTACATGCAAACACGACGTACATATATATAAATACGTATATATATATATACATATATATAAATATAAAACGAGAGAGAGAGGTTGTGCGACGCATTAGGAGGTTGCAACTCCTTCTGTCACAGATATATGCAGCCTCTTTAGAAAAGGCGTGTATCAACAAGCCGAAAGCAATTCTAAAAATCTACCTGTTGTATTCGTTTCACTTGTTCCGATATGCATTGTACGCTCTTCGTTCCGCGTTCGTTGTAAAGTGACGCGTGTCATTATTTCGAAAGTATCCGATACACAAGTTTCTCGTTTCTCACGCAGCAAAACTGTCCCCTGTATTTCTCAAACGAATAGTCGTTGTTACGTTTCAACTGTATTAATTGCGCGTGAAAATTACACTTGGATATATATATATATATATATATATATATATATATATATATATA